GCTACAGGAGGGGGCAGGGCCACCAATCTATGGGGGGGGGGGGGGGTGGAAGGTACAGGAGGGCGGGGCAGCGGGCAGAGAGCTACCGGAGGACAGCAGTGAGCTACTGGCGCACAGATTTGTGCGCAGGTCTACTAGTGTGTGTGTGTGTGTGTGTGTGTGTGTGTGTGTGTGTGTATAAACACCTGCAAGTTGAAAAGAGTAAAAAATGATAAGATTCATAATTCTGGAATACAGATTTTTAAATGCATTAATGGCTCTGAAATTGAGCATCAGAAAAGTTACCTAAGGTTCTGAGCTATCAGCAATAAAATAAAATCATGAAATGACACATAAATCATAGTTACCTCAGATCCTGTTGCTTCAGAGATGGAAGTATATGAGCTTTCTGGAGCCCAGGAAATGCATTCTACCACATGCTCATGTTCTCGAAGCTCAGCCTTGCATTCCTTTGTTGCTACGACCCATACTCGCACAGTCTGGTCATTGGAACAGCTGGCTATCAGAGTGCCATCCTGATTTGGCCGCACCATACGTACCCACTCTCTATGTCCTGTGAATGTCTTTACACAGTAGCTGTCAAAATAAGTAATAATTTATGTTGTGAATGGTAATCCATTGGGACACTTCCCAGAAGCAATGCAAAACTTACAATGTATACTGGAATGAAGAGAATGACAACAAGTTAGTGAAATTGTATGCAAGTCAACAGAATAAATGTACATTCCTGGTTAATAAAAGATGGGGACAGGCTGGAAAGTCAAACATCAGTTAAAATAAGCTTATGGGAGAATCATTAAGGAGCTAACCAAATCAACAAAATCTAAAAAGTAAAATATAGAGAGAAAATCTTTTCAAAATTAAACACACACAATAAACCTAACAAAAATATTTCTAGCCATGTTGGGGGAAAAGCATGCTCTACTAATCTGGGTAAAACCAGTAGGTTAAGGTTCTATTTTAACAATCATGTAATTCTAAGCACAACCAAATTAAACCTAATAGGGGCATACCTGTACAAATGTTATCTACATTTTATTTCAACCCACAGAGAGATAACCTAAAAGAAGACCACAGAGAAAATAAGCCATTACATAGAAGATGGCTTTGAAGGACATAGATTTTCTTTTATAATTTCTCTGTTCTTTGGAGGAAGATACATTTAGATATCAATTTTGACAAAGGAGGCATGAACATACAATGGAGCCAAGATAGTCTCTTCAATAAATGGTGTTGGGAAAATTGGAGATACATTTAGATATCAAAACTTAGTTTTAAAGTACATAATAAAATTGCCATGATGATCATTATGGGTAAAAGCTAAAATTATTGGAACATTCAGAATACAATTTTGTTTAATATCTCTTTACCAGATATTCAACTAAATCTACTTACCCAGTTTGTACTTCCCACATTTTTATAGTTTTATCTCTTGAAGCAGACACTATATGATCTCCATTGGGCATGATGGCTACTGAAGAAACATTGTGGTCATGGCCTAAAACACATAACACAGCAACATTATTAAATAATATGCCACCAAGAGCAATTAAACCTGTTTATCACAAGATTTCACCATGGGATTTTAAATAACACAGCAACTTTAAATACACTGGGCTTTATTATAAATATGATTAAAAACTTGGATCTACACAAAAAAGGAACTAGTACCAATAAAATAATCCACAATAAATAGCCAACTCAATTTATGATTAAATTTCAAACTGTACAACTGTTTTAAAACCATAAGGTGTCAGTTTCATCAGTATCTGAATATATAAGTGTGGGGCAAAAGAAGGTTTATAGCTGTGAGTATGCAAAACACAGTTTATTCTTGTATTATTCTTTATAAATATTGTATTATATCTTTTTTTTTTTTTTTTTTTTTTTTTTTAAATATATTTTATTGATTTTTTACAGAGAGGAAGGGAGAGAGATAGAGAGTTAGAAACATCGATGAGAGAGAAACATCGATCAGCCGCCTCCTGCACATCTCCTACTGGGGATATCATCAGTATCTGAATATATAAGTGTGGGGCAAAAGAAGGTTTATAGCTGTGAGTATGCAAAACACAGTTTATTCTTGAGCCAAACCGGTTTCGGCTGTATTATATCTTTTTATTGTTATTTCATATCCTTACTTATGATTTATCTTTTAGGTAATGATGGCTGGTAATTGAACTTACTTTTGCCCACCCCTGTATTAATACACTGAATGTTTATGAATGAACACTAGAAAAACATACAAATATTTCCACTGTTCATATTCTACGATATAAAATAGAAATAAAGCTAAAAGGACTAGGTAAGAAAAATGGGGATACGATTCTATATTTAAAATAGTGGTTGAAATTATCTCTTGTTGATATTCATGGTGGTAAAAATGCATTATTCCATATACATTATTCACAATCCTAACTAATCAGTTATCCTTGAAGGAAAGAGCCCCAGGGAGTCCGCAGATTTTATGAAAGGATTCAACAGAATTCCTCTACTTGGTAAGCCTTGAATGCATTTAATTAGGGAAGAAAACACACTCTTCAAATTACACTCTCTATGTAATCATGTAGCTTACTCAAGTGCCAGCATCTCTGAATAATATATTTAGAAAAATATTTTATTACTAACACAGTATGCATTCCTTATATAAAATCCAAACATTTAAATTTCATCATGTTTAAAGAAACAAGTCTGGTTGGTGTCGCTCAGTGTTTGAGTTTCAACTCACGGACTAAGAGGTCACTGGTTCGATTCCTGGTCAGGGAACATGCCTGGGTTGTGGGCTCAAGATCCCCAGAGGGGCGTGCAGCAGGCAGCGGATTAGTGTTTCTATCTCTCTATCCCTCTCCCTTCCTCCCTTTCTAAAATCAATAAAAACATATTTTAAACTAAACAAATAAATAATAATAAAAAAACCACAAAGAAACAAAAGCCCTTATTTACTGAGCACCTTCTATGTGCCAGGTATTAAACCAAGATAATCAAGTACAGAAAACCTGTGCTTCACAGATATTGCGTTTTCATCAACATCAAAGAAAGATCCTTCACCAGCAAAAAAATAAATAAATCAATCACGATGCACTGAAAAGCTCAGATTGATGAGCAGCACTTTTTAGCAATACGTTTTTTAAAATTAAGGTATGTACATTGAGTTTTTAAAAATACAGACTACTACTATACACTTGATAGAACTGTGTAGTATAAACACAACTTCTACTATATGCCCTGAAACCAAAATATTCATGACTCACTATATTGTGATATTTGCTTTATTGTGGTGGTCTGGAATTAAACCCACAGTATCTCCAAGGTATGCCTATGTGGTCTCATTTTATCCTCACGACAAGCCTATAATTTAGGTATTATTACCTCTATCTTGCAGATGAAAGAGGTTAAAACTTCCTAATGCCATTATTAAACAAGTAGGGAATTTAAACCCAGATATCTGGTTCCAAAGCTCTTTCCACAAAGCTAAACTGACTCAGAGAACAGTCTCCATGACAAAACCCAGACAACAACCTAACAATAAGACTATAGTATATGTATATTAAAAAGTGAGCAGGGGAATCTGGATTCCAGCTTTTACTATACCCACTCTCTCTCAACTTCAGTTTCCCAATTGAGAAAAATGATTTAAAAAAGACAAATAAAAACATCCTACTAACAACTTCATTTTCTCAAAAACAGATAGATGTCCTAGCAGTTTTTCTTATTAAAAAATATTTGTGAAAACAATTTTCATACTTTATATGAAATACTTCTAAGAGATACTTAAAGCATCATAACAAAAACAACTCTCAACTATGGCTTATCCATGGACTATCTACATCACGAAGTCCTTCAACAACACAGACAACTAAGAATTGAATGAAGGGAACCTGCACACGGATAGAAAACAATATTCTTGCCCTAACCGGTTTGGCTCAGTGGATAGAGCGTCGGCCTGCGGACTCAAGGGTCCCGGGTTCGATTTCGGTCAAGGGCATATACCTTGGTTGCTGGCCACATCCCCAGTATGGGGTGTGCAGAAGGCAGCTGATGGATGCTTCTCTCTCATCGATGTTTCTAACCCTCTATCCCTCTCCCTTCCTCTCTGTAAAAAATCAATAAAATATATTTAAAAGAAAAAGAAAACAACATTCTTATTTCTGGAATGCCATGTGAGAAATCAGTATCAAATACCACCCTCTATTCCTTACCGTGCATGGTTCTGATGCATTCAAAGCCCTGAAAATCCCATAGTTTAATGGTCATATCTGCAGAACAGGAAGCCAGAAGCTTGCCACTGTGGTCAAATGAAATATCCTGTACAGAGTCTGTATGCCCCTTAAGAGTTCGTTCAAAATCTCCAGTCTCATAATCCCACACCTGTCACATGAACAAAAAACTGGTTAATATCAACCCATCACTTTGTTTCACATTTGCACTCAGCAGGCTAGTCTGGCACCTTACTAATTAACTGAGAAAGTGACAAAGGGTCACTGTCTCAGAAATTAGCACATCTTCAGTATAAATTGGTCTTTCCTCTAATAGAGAAAATTGATGGTGCAATTTTTAAAATGGACCTCTAGTACATTATCTACCATGCACCTAATTATGCTAGTGATTAAGTATATAAAGCCATAAGACAAAGTCCCTTCCCAATCTGACAGTAGGCAACAGATATGTTAATAAGTAAATTTTAGTACAGAGAGTTTCAGGGGGCTATGATAGGCATTTATATGTAGAATGAAAGTAACAATGAAGGAGTACTCAATTGTACTAGATAAGTGGAATTCAGATATCTAAGAGGCCAAGAAAGGACTTCACATGATGTAACTGTCCATGAAAAGCAGATTAACAAAAGAATGTCATTCTGATGTAAAAAAGTCACAGTCACATATTTTAAAGATAACTTTTCTAAAATAAAGAAACAATGAGCTATCAAGAATAAATATTAGAAACGCATCTCAAGAATATACTAAACTTTCATTCTGGTGGCCAAATGCAAGTGTGAAGTTAATCTTTCACCAATACCAATTATACTGCTCTAAAGTCAAATGATTAATTCCATTTTTCCCATAATAATTTCAAATTTATCTGTGGTAGGGTATATACCAACCAATTTAGAGAAATGTAGAAACTGCATTTTGAAAACTTAAGAAACAATATAAATATCCAACATTGGCGAATGGCTAAGATATAAAATTTGCAACTATAATGAATTTATGACATGCATACAATGTTACATAAAAAAAATTACACAATTATATAAAAAAGAACCTAAGAAAAACTATCTTTGAAAAATATTTAACAGAAAGCTTCTGTACCCTTCCCAATATAAACAAAATTTTTTCTATGTAAATGTTTAAGTACTCCTACATGTGTTTAATTTTGTGTAACTTTGTTAGACTTATCCTTAATTGTGGTTTCTTGATGATACTATAAGTTGCATTTTTAAATTTCAAATTTCAATTATTCATTGCTAGTTTATAGAAATGCAGTTACATTTTGTATATCGACTGTGTATTCTGTTAGTCTGTTAAATTCAGTCATAGTTCTAGTGGCTTTTTTGTACGCTCTTTGGAATTTTCTACATAGATTGTGTCTGCAAATGAAGTGTTTCATTTCTTTCTTTCAAATCTGTATGCCTTTTATTTCTTCTTCTTCCTTACTGCACTGGCTAGGCACTCCAGTATAAAAGTGTATACAAGTGGTTGAGACTGGACATCCTGCCTGGCCTTGGTTTCTGATCTCAGAGGAAAGCATTCAGTTTCCACCAGTAAGTATTAGGACCACTGTAGGTTTTATCAGACACCTTTACCTTTTATCAGGTTACCTCTCCTTCCAGTTTTTCAGTTTTTCTCATGAATGGATATTGTAATTTTTCAAATGCTTTTTCTGAATCTATTTTTTTTAAATGTTTTCATTGATTTCAGAGAGAGGAAGAGAGAAACATCAGTGAGGTATTTGTTCGGCTGCCTCCTGCCCCCTACTGGGGATAGAGCCCGTAACCCGGGCATGGGCCTTGACTGAGAATCGAACCTGTGACCTCCTCCTGGTGCACGGGACGAGGCTCAACCAACTGAGTGACACCAGCTGGGCTATTTTTGTGGTTGTTGTATCACATTGATTCATTTTCAAATGTGGAACCATTTCTTGCATACTGGGTGCACCTACTTGGTGATAATTATCCTTTCAATGAATTGCTGGGTTCAATTTGTTTATAATATGTAAAGGAGTTTACATCTGTGTTCATACAGTATTGGTCTATAGTTTGTTTTTTGTAATACCTTTGTCTTATTTTGTTATCTAAGTGTTTAATTTTGACACCAAGAGTTCAGAGGAACACAAGGTGTGATCTTTTTTTCTTTTTTCTTTTTTTAGAGAGAGTGGGAGGGGGAGAGACAGAGACAGAAACATTGATGTGAGAGGGACACATCAATTGGTTGCCTCTCGCATGCACTCCAACCAGAGCTGGGGATTGAGCCTGCAACTGAGGTATGTGCCCTTGACTGGAATCAAACCCGGGACCCTTCAGTCCATGGGCCGATACTCTATCCACTGAGCCAAACCAGCTAGAGCAAGGTGTGATCTTGAAGTTCATTCCAATTTCAGTTAATTTTCTTTCCATGTATTCATTAAATAACAATAAAACATTTTCTCTAAAATAAATATAGCCAGAAAACAAACTCTGTTTCTTCATAAATGGTGAGCAAACGGCATTTCAGTTAGTTTATAAATGTCAACAATAAGAATTGTTTACTTTATATTTACCTTTTGTATGATCTATAAGAATAAAAGCATAATATGCTAATTAGATCGGACAACCTTCCGGACGAAGCCGGGGCTGCGAGGGAAACCCGAGTCCCGGGTGCCAGAGGGAAGCTGGTGCCGAGAGCTGGGGGAACAAAGGCCTACACTTGCACGAATTTCGTGCATTGGGCCTCTAGTTATAAAATAATGCTCATGATAAAAAACAAACAAACTATAATGTACTTGAAATAAAAGAAATTTTAAAAATCCCTTATCTTAACAATGGCATGGTTTTTTCCCCATTTTTTTCTATGCCCTTTAAGTATAGTGACTATGTATATTTCATTACTCAATTTTTCCCTTCACTTCTTATGAGTTTTTCCATGTTGTTAAAAACTTATAGCATTCTTGCCCTGGCTGGGTAGCTCAGTTGGTTAGAGCATCATCCCAATATGACATTTATGGGTTCAATCTCCAGTCAGGGCACATACAAGAAGCAACCAATGAATAAATAAATAAGTGGAAAAACAAACTGATGTTTCTCTTTTGCTCTCTCTTTTTCTAAAACAGAAAACAGCATTCTTAAAACAATAACAACAAAAAACCTTAGCATTCTTTAAAAAAAAAATTCCTATGGTTGGCTAAATTTTTTTTTCTTATAGGAAACATATAAGTGAAAATCTTTGAATATTGAAAAGTATCTGTCCTCATTTTGCAATACTTACGTCACACAATAATGGGAAAAAGAAAATTGGGTCAAAAAGTATAAACTTTCTAAGCTCTTCATATATTCTGCTAAATTGTTTTCCCATTAGATTATATCAAAATAATGAGAATGCCTGCTTCATCAAATTCTTACAACCACTGGGAATTCTCATTTTAAAAAGCGAAATAGCTTGACAGATTTTATACATATTATAATTTTAATTTGAATTTCTTCTATTAGTACTGAGGCCAAATTAGCTATTTTTCTTCCTCTACGAATTACCTCTTCATGTCCTACAGTCCATTTTTAGAGATATTTCTGTTTTTCATATTGGATGAACTGTTTATATATTAAAGTTGGCAACCCTTAATCTGCTTTATTAGTTTAATGTATTTTGTTGTGTTGCTGTTCATGTTTTAAAACATTTAAGAATTAGTTCTAAATGACAACCAGAAATATTTCAAAAATTTAAATGGTGCAATTAAAAATATTGTTATGAAGCCCCTGGCTGGGTAGCTCAGTTGGTTGGAGCATCTTCCTGTGCACCAAAAAAAGTTGTAGGTTTGATTTCCAGTCAGTGCACATACCTAGATTGAAGGTTCAATCCCTAGTCAGGGTGTATACGGAAGGCAACTGATCCATGTTTCTCTCTCACATAGATCTCTCTCCTCCCCCTTCCTCTCTCTCTAAAATCAATAAACATATCCTGAGGTGAGAATTAAAATTAATTAATTTAAAACAAAAATACTATCATAAACTATTCCAAATATCTATCCTCTAAGTTTTTCTAAATTATTATAGTTCAAATGTTGATAATGTAAATGAGTGGTTCTAAAAGGAAATTTCTGACATTAATAAATGAACACAAACTTGCTGTATTTACCAGATACACAAGAGAAATTATTTAATATAATTTTAATTTTGTTATTGATAACTGTAACATTAGCTACAGCTTTTTGAGCCCTTACCATCTATCTATTTAAGTTTGCCAGGCACTATGCTACATACATTATGTATATATTACTTTATTTTAAGCAATAGAATCTTATGACAAATTTTTAATCCCCCTTCCCAACAAACGAGGTAACTGAGCCTTAAACATAATCCCTTTGCCCAACATAGTCACAAGAATGGTTGCCTCTTGCATGCGCTCTATGTGCTCTTTGTGTTTTCCTTTGAGTTTTTTGGAAAGTAGTTCTATCACAACCAGCACACTTAGAAATCACCTAACTTTAACACAACTGAACAAAGAAAATATATAGAAGGAGAGTAAATTTTTTGTTTTCATTCCACAAATTATCAAAGGAAGTAATTTATGAGAAAAAAGCTTTATGTATAAAAATAAACAGAACATTATTTATGACAGTAGATGACTAAAAATAACTTAAAATCCAAAGGAAGATCTGTTAATGGTGCTGAAATATTGCTGACACGAAGTACTTTAGTATCTGACCACCACTGTGGCAAGCAGTTTCTCCGTAATAACGCATTTAATCCTCCCTAAAGCCCTGAGATAGTTATTGTCTTCACTTCACAGATGAGGAAAGGTAAGCACAAAAAGTTTATCTGCCCATGATCACGTTAATAATTAAATGGCTGGGTCAGTACTTGAACCTACAACTTGGGCTCTGGACCATTACTACCCTATAATGCCTCCATATACAAATAAAACAATCAGTTTTAAATCATTAAAAATCATCATTCATTAGAAACAAAGAAAGGTGTTTCTAAAATGTTTAATCAAAAAAGGAAATAAAACTAAACACAAATGCTTGCTATTAATGAAACAAACATTTGTGCACATTAAATAAAGACTAAATGGAAGGGAAGTTAAGTAGCTGCTGAGATATATAGTTTGATTACAGATATAAATTTAAAAACTTCTATTTATAGTATTTTGTTCATGGAGTAAATGATGTTTGTTGGTTCTCCATTTTCTTTTTCTTTTTTATTGATTTCAGAGAGGAAAAGAGGGAGAGAGAGATAGAAATATCAATGATGAGAGAATCATCAGCTGCCTCCTGCTTGCCCCTAACTGGGAATTGAGCCCGCAACCCAGGCATATGCCCTGACGGGGAATCGAACAGTGACCTCCTAGTTCTTAAGTTGATGCTCAACCACACCAACCAGGCAGGTTCTCCATTTTTATAATCAAAGCATAGAAAACTTATTCACAGTTATAAAACAGATATAAATGACATAAACCTTGGCAATCTAAAAATAACAGGACTTATATAAAATTATCTGGTAAGTAAAGGGAAACAAATAAGTATGTACCATTTGTAATATTTTCAAGTTGACTCCACAGATATATTGTAAGATGGCATATTTACAGTTTTGTTTATGCTTTTCAACTACCACTGCAAAATTAATAGTAAATACTGAACACCGGTTGGGTTTTCCAATGGTTAGAGCATCACCTCGAGGACCAAAGGGTCTAGATTCGATTCCTGGTCAAGGGCATGTACCTGGGTTGCAGGCCTGATCCTGGGTCGGGGCTTGTGCAGGAAGCAACCAATCAATATGTCTCTCTCACATCGATGTTGCTCTTTCTCTCCCGCACCCCTCCTTTCTACTCTCAAAAAAATAAATGGAAAAAATATCCTGGGGTGAGGATCAACAACAATAACAACAAAAAAGACTGGGTTCAATCTATTAAAAAAGGTTTACTTTTACCCCTATGCCTCATGATAGCAGTGCAGTTTTTTAGTACACATAAGGGAGACTATCATTAAGTCAATCATTTACATACACATCTACATACATCTGAAAAATAGCAATATATTAAGGTTTTAGGTATGTAATCATCTCAGCCTACAGAAGTACATGATGCACATGTGAATTTAAGACTCTCTTCCAATGACTCTGCAGCCTGCCCCATGGATGGCCAGCCTAAAGGATAAAAGGAAGCCACTGATTTAGAAACTAAAGAAACCACATAAGAAAAACATAAAATAATGCTTAATATGAAGAACAAGTTAAGTATAAGTCACAGTTAACTGTTTCTTGCATTTTATGTTAGACTGCGGCTGTGTGATATATACACTCTTAAACCACATTCTCCTAAACCTCTCCAAATGAAACTTAAACTGAAATAAGCCTTAAAACAGAGAAACCTACCTAAACCTTTTAACTGTATTTTACTTGTCATTTTGCAGGTGGTTTATATAACTGCCATTGTCTGGATTAAAGGGAATTACAAAAACAACCTTTTCTCTGATTAAAAGATAAAATATTAAAATGTATTATGATTATTGTGGGGGGGGGGGGGGGAAAGAAATACATAACTTATAAAGTGATAAGCACCTACATTCCTACACCCATGGAGAGAATTACTATTTAGTTTGGCATCAAAGCCAATATTACACATATCAAGAAAAGTCTAATTTAAATAAATTCTCTATTGAATTTTTTTTTTTTTTTTTTTGCAGAACATATTCATCTGCTGAATTACTAGTGTTGTAATCCTGTATTTTCATCTATTACCTCTGCTTAAAAGTAAGGTACACACTTTCCCTCTTTCTAGGTCCTCATTTTCAGGATGTTTTTATTTCTTTCACCCAATTAAATTTAAATCTGATTTTAACAATTACCCTACTGCAAATCTTTCATTTTTAAAAATTACCTTAATTGTAGCATCCTCTGAAGCAGAGACCATAACACTGAACACAGGGTGGAAAATGACTCTAGTGACTGGACTCCTATGACCACTCAATGCATATTTTTCTGGTGGACGGGGAATCCATTCTTTTGGGTCTCGTTTCTGACCAAGAGGCCCACCTGATGTAAATTCTTCTTTTGCTTCATTTAGTTTTGATTCTAATTCCATAACCTTGAAAATGAACACATAGTTATATATACAGATAGACTCCAATTTTATTTGATATTTTAAAAAACTGCTTTTATTTTGTATCTATATATGCAGAATACTTTAAAATTTTTCATTAATTTACAAAGCATTCATCATTTATTAAAAATTATCTTCATTATCTACCATCAAAATTTTAGTGATATAAAAACCAAAAATTAAGAAAAATTCAGTATAACTTTGTCTTAACTACTTAACTCAAATAAAAATTTCAATTTATATCTACTATTTAGAGGAAGAGCAGTGCACCTGTGTTGGTCTCTCTATGTCTGTTACTCTTAGTAAACTCTTCCCAAACCAAGTTTACATTATACATGCTAGTAATATTTATAATAAAAGCCAACATTTATTTAATATCTATGTTTTAGATACTTTTCTAAGAGATTTTGATGCATTAATTCATTTTACAACAATTTATTTATTCATTCTAGCTTTGCCTACTAAAAATTTAAATTTTACGACCAGGATATTATTTATTGCCTTACACATAAAAATAAAAGCTCAAAGCGTAACCAATGGAGACAGACAGTAGGAGGGCAAGGGCATGTGCTGGGCGGGGACGGGGGTGGGGGGTGGGAGGGGGCACGAGCAGTGGGGGTGGGGGGTGAGCGACAGGGGAGAGGTCAATGGGGGATAAAGGAGACACATGTAATACTTTAAACAATAAAGAGTTTAAATGTAAAAAAAAAAAAAAAGCTCAGAGATAAAAATAACTTGTCTAAGTGCACATTTTAGTGTTCTTTTCTCAGCATCACATTGGCTCCATTAATTTTTCCCATCTAAACAAGATCAAGTTCTTAAGTATCAATTCCCTGAAGTCAGGTTTATGTAAATTCAACCCAGCCAGTACCCAGATTGCACAAGTTAGCATGAATCAGCTCTGATCTTTTTGGGTCAAAGTATTTTTTAATGCATAGAAAATATACTCTTATTTGCCTTTTCAAGATTAAATATAATTATTAATTATGTTAATATTTTCAGAAAGTTATGTTAATGTTTTCAGAAAGTTTATTTAAGAACATTCCAAATATAACCAACCAACTTTAAAGGAAAAACTTAGTTACCTTCTTTTGTAATCTAATAACAGATGTCCATTTTTTTTCCAAAAGACCAGCATATTTCTTATCTAATTCTTCATTCTAGAGGAAAAAATGAGAACCTTTTAAAAAATGGCTCAACTATGATAGTTCAAGCCATTCAGATCATTTGTCCCTGAGTCTAACTAAATATTACTAAAAATCTTATTATACTAAAAAAAGGTTGAAAACCAAGTTTAGTGCCACATAAATAACAAATGATAAGGTCTGTGAATAACTGAGGTGTCTGTTAATTGCTGATACTTCAGTAAAATCCACTTATAATTGTAAAAAGTAAAACATACCATATCTAATTCAGCTTCTTTTTTAAAAACTGAATATGCCTCTTCATAACCATTTGAACGAAGATAATCTGCTATAGCCCGATTTCTGAAAGAAAACAAATTCAAATGACTCCAAAAAACATAAGTATTTCACAAAAAAGGGACCTGCTCCACCTAAGCCTCTAAAACATTTAGCTTTGTCAAAGTACAGCTTTAATAATATATGTACTATATTATTCTTGAGCTTTTTGCTTTAAGTTTCTAATGTGTTGCTTACCTTACAAGCTGTGGGCACTCTACAGAGGTCAAGATATGGCTTATATTAATAGGTATCAATTTGTAAGAATAATCATCAATTTTATTCATGTTTACATTTAGCCTTCCCTTACTACTTGTTATAGACACTCAAGAACTAGCAACTGAAGTTTAGTTTTGCAGAAAGACTTGTTCTGATAAAATTATAATTAGTAAGTATTTTAATATTAGAGACATCTTTAAACCATTCAGAGTGGGTGAGCCCTAGCCGGTGTGGTTCAGTGGTTAGCATGTCGGCCCACACACTGAAGAGTATGGGGTTCAATTACTGATCAAGAGCACGTATCTGGGTTTCAGGGTCAATCTCCGGCCCCAGTTGGGGCACATGGGGGGGGCGGGCAACTGATCTATGTGTCTCTCACATCAATGTTTCTCTATCTCTTACTCTCCCCTCCCTTCCATTCTTAAAAAAAAATCAAAAAAAAAATCAATGAATAAAATATCCCCAGGTGAGGATTAACAAAACAAAAAAAAGAGTGGGTGAAAAAAAGAGCATAAGCTATAAACTAGGACTAAAACATCATAGACTAAAAACATTCATTTAGAAAGAAATTGAAGCTGAATTAGCAGATGCCTTTTCAGGCTCTCCTTATATTCCTTCAAAGAGAAAATCAGCTACCTCCCTCCTAAGACAACCTACTCCTCTATCAATTTTTGAGCCTTAAGTCCCCTGTAATATAATAGTTGCTTGGGATTTCCTTTAAAGCAATCTAAATAATTTAAAAAACTAATCCTATATAATAAAAGGCAAATATACAAATCAACAGAACCATGGAACCACCCAACGCTATGAGGCACACTGACCACCAGGGAGCATACGATCAACGCAGGAGCTGTCCCCTGGTGGTCAGTGTGCTCCCACAGCGGGAGCACTGCTCAGCCAGAAGCCAGGCTCACAGCTGGCGAGCGCAGCGGCGGTGGCGGGAGCCTCTCCGCCTCTGCAGTAGTGCTGAGGATGTCCGACTGACAGCTTAGGCCGTCTGACTGACAGCTTAGGCCAGCTCCCCGCAGGAAGCGGGCCTAAGCAGTCAGTCAGACATCCCCCGAGGGCTCCCAGACTGCACGAGAGCTGAAGGACCCCCACCACGAGTGCATGAATTTCATGCACCAGGCCACTAGTATGTATGTATGTGTGTGTGTGTGTATGTATGTGTGTGTGTGTGTGTGTATGTGTATATATATATATATATATATATATATATATATATATATATATATAAACACATTCTACATAAGCCTTCTTTTCCACTATTGCCCCCTCTATATTTCTATCCCTGAGCCAATTACTTTACCAGTGTTTTGGTGTTTCCTTTTCAGAGATAACCCCACCTATTAACACACATCCCCTGGAGTAGGTCTCTCTAGAGATAATCAATACTTGTTTTTAAAACCAACCTGTAGTACATAACATAACTAGTAATGTTCTACCACTGGTACAATAAACTCACTTCAATCCTAGCTATCATCTCTCTTTTTAAATCCCAAACCCGAGGAGATTGCTTTTAATGGTGTCTAAGAGAGAAGGAAA